TGCTAACTTTATGTCAACCTAGCAGAGCCATAGCTCAAAATTTATTTTTTTATTTTTTTAAAACTTCTAATATACCTCAATTTATTACTATCATTTCATTACCAACTTATAACTATCATCACAAATTTTTTACTCAACATTCGATGGAGACAAACACCGATTTGTCTATCGAGAACAAGTTACCAATTTATTACCACATTTGCAAATATATAACCCTTCATTTAACAGAAAAAGCCATCGGCTCTGTTAGCTTCATGTCAACCCTGCAGAGAACTTTATACCATAATTTATTGACTATTTTATCACTGAATTAAAACCATAATCACGATTTTTTTACTCATCATTCGATGCAAAAGAGCCGATTTGTCTATAGTCCACGAGCCAGCTACAAATTGTTATAAAATTGTTCTATCCCCCTTACGAGCAACCCTAAGAAGTCTTCGAGAGATTTGTGCGAGCAAGGAATGACGGGGGCCTTACCTTTTAACGTGTGATCCCAAACACTTTCTTGGGCCATCAGAAAAATTTCTGCAGTCGCGGGGAATTGAACCCACGACCGGCAAGCGAACGCGGATTAGAATACTGACACTCTGTCCGCACGGCTACCTGGCCCCTCGACCGTCATCTGATAACGAAATGAAAGAATGACTATCCTGAGCAAAATGATTGGAAAATCGCACTTTCGTGTGCGGTAATTTGCATTCGATTTAGCGATTTGATAACGAGATAAGAATTATGCCATCCGATACCAATTGAATGGTAAATTTCAAAAACCTAGCTGTGCCACCCCTCAGTTTTGCGCTTCCTGATAGCTACTATTATATACTTACTCACACCTATTTTCATTCTCTCAGTATCTTTTGTATTATTGTTGTTGTTTGAATTGAATTATTTTATCATTTCTTATCTACTCTCCTTCTTTTCCTATACATTCTTCTAATCCTTCGTTTTGATCCCCTATACTAGTCCATGACTGCTGCTGCTGTGCAGGTTCTGTCAAGAAGAGGAAGAAACAACAGTACACATACTTTGCCACTGTAAGGGCTTGTCAAGACTAAGGTTCCTTACGCTGGGTGAGGAGAAACAAGGAGCCCAGAGATACACAGGAGATCTGAAAGCTAGCCTATGGAGTCTCATAGAGAAGGCGGGGCTAGCCGAAGAACTGTAATCGATTTTGAGGGCAGACACAATATATCTGAAAAGGTCGCAGTGTGGAGGCAGATAGCCCGAAGGCCCCATTCCAAATCTAATCTAATCTAATAGTCCATGAAGGTCACCCACGATCACCCATAATCAATATATTTCCTTCTCCATCATCAATTTCATTTTGTATTCTTTCAAAGAATGAGTCTCTTGCTCTCGCTTTTTCTTCTTTATAGACCGTTGGCCCATAACACTAGGGGTGTCGATTATCTACGAAGGTATGCCCTTCAAGAGACATGAAGATTGAGTTGGATTATCGGGAAAAAAGTGGTTAGTTGGATCGGTACCCGGTCGCCCATCTCCCTAATCAATCAACTTCCTGTTGAAAGTAATGTTGAAAATTGTATTATAGAAGAAGCTTTAAAATTCATTGGAATAGTCGCATCTCGCCAAATTAACCGGGCGCTAGCCGATTTGCATACGTCTAGGTCGGTCCCGAAGGGCGGCATACGGACCGCAAGTTACCATTCTGTCGCTGCGACACATATTGGGTGTTCGAAAATATGCTGATTCATGTTAGAATTATTGGGATACTCGGGAACAATCTGATACGCGTGATACAGGAAGATCGTTATACGCCTTCTTGATGATGTTCGAGCCCCTCTCAGGGGAATATTACAATATCGTTCATGAAAATAACAAAAAACATGGGATCCAAGATTGATCCTTTAGGAACTCCCATTGTAACTCCAAGAGGATCAGATTCATAGAATCCAACAAGACTATCTGCCGGCTCTGCAAATGAGATGCGCCCCCTGACATTCCCCCTAGAGTCATCCTCTATCATCCCCGGCCCCCGGCACTAGTAGTAGGTGCCAGATTCGAGCTTAGTGACCCCGAAACCTCCCTGAGAGCCCTTGGCACTCGATCATCCTGGAATTTCTAGTTTCAACTTTTTAATATTAGAAAAACTGAAAAAAATAGACTCCCTAGAGCAAAATCGACGTATGCTCACAATACATTCGTATGCAAACGCTATTTTCTTATTCAGTATAACTGAATCTATCACCTGATTGAATGGCATACAAAATTATATAATCTTGATATATATAATCGATGATGTAAAGTGACCTTCGAATATGTCTAAATTCGCCCACCCAAACTTTATGCAAATGTTATGGCATTGATTCATGGGTCGAAATGAAGGAATTAACCAAAGGGCATACCATCGTAAATAATCTAAGAGAAATGTCGGTTAACGGTAACTTGCGGTCCATATGCTGCCCTTCGGGACCGACCTAGACGTATGCAAATCGGCTAGCGCCGGGTTAATTTGGCGAGATGCGACTATTCCAATGAATTTTAAAGCTTCTTCTATAATACAATTTTCAACATTACTTTCAACAGGAAGTTGATTGATTAGGGAAATGGGCGACGGGGTACCGATCCAACTAACCACTTTTTTCCCGATAATCCAACTCAATCTTCATGTCTCTTGAAGGGCATACCTTCGTAGATAATCGACACCCCTAGTGTTATGGGCCAACGGTCTATTACTCGCCCTTTCACTTCCCTTATGCCAATTACATTACAAAAATCAGGAAACTATAATAGGCATTATTTCTTTCTTCTGTTTGTTGTCTAGAATATTCTTTCACGGAGTAGTTTCATCAAACGTCATGTACAGGGTATCCCAATTTGGGCACTTTTGCGGGATATCTCCCTTATCAGTAAAGATAGAGCATTGCGGTTTTCGCGACAGTGTGCTACTTTTTTATGAAATTATTAATGGCGCAAGCAGAATTGTGATAGCTCTTCCGGTTGTCGAGATACAGGGTGGAATTGAAAAATATCACTTTTCAGGCACCCTCCGTGTCTCAGTTATCTTTGAACTTATCGAAGAAGTTAAAACTTGTTTTTATAGAGTTTTTTTCGTAGAATCCAGTGGCGTAGTTATTTTTTTGCTAGCACCTTTTGTTTTTTAGTTATGAAGCAAACATATGTTTTTTTAAATGGAACACCCTGTATATTATTTCATAATATATACATTTTTCAATTCCACCCTGTATCTAGACAACCGGAAGAGCTACCACAATTCTGCTTGCGCCATTATTAATTTCATAAAAAAGTAGCACACTGTCGCGAAAACCGCAATGCTCTATATTTACTGATAAGGGAGATACCCCGCAAAAGTGCCCAAATTGGGATACCTTGTACAGAGTGGAACAATTTAAACACTTCTGGAGGGACAGTTTCATTTTCAAACTAGATAGAATAGATGAGAACTAATGTCCGTGTCTAAGGGTCAATTTCTATGATGAACTCAATGGTGAAAACCGCATATCGATATACAGGGTGTCCCGAAATTATCCTGCGAAACTTCACCAGCGGCTTCTACGACAAAAAATTAGAAGAAAAGTTCAATGAACATGATTAGAAAAGAAAAAGATCTCCATAGGAAGCTGCGGCCCCATGAAACGTAATAAAATGATGCAATTCGGTGCATGCCCAATGCAGTGCCAATAAAACTCGCAATAAAATCATCTCAAAATTTCATTCTGGAGTGTTAAATACAGGGTGGGACTAGAATAAATATTGCTCAAACTTTTTTATATGCTTTTTTTTGACATTTTAATCTCGGAATATGAAAATCCATATATCTTCACAGAAAAAAATGTGCTCCTGTTCCGTATCTACCAGATCAGGTGTATCATATTCGAGTAAAATAGATTTAAAAATATTGTTACTTCTCAGATAATATGCATAACATCCGAATAAATCGTAGTGGATATAGACAAAAAATGCACGCAAATTGAAATAAGTTTCTATCATCATTTTACTTTTTTACGCGCTTCTATGAAATTGTTTGACAAAAAGAAAGTGGTTGATATTTTAAAGCCACTATGATTTGAAAATTGGGAACATCATGCATAAGTTGTGAGTGTAACAGTATTCTTAATTTGATTTCACCCGAAAATGATACATTATTTTCATAATCCGAGATTAAATTGTCGAATAATGAGTTTGAGCAATTTTTAATGTAGTCCAGTGAATGAAATTTATGAATGCTTTTATTTTCACTGCCTTGGGCATGGAAAGTTTAGTTCTTGTGCCAAATTGCATCATTTTATCACATGGCGTTTCGGAAATATTCAAAAAATATCATCTTCAGAAGCCCCCTCTCAGGGAACCGTAGCTCCCATGGGAGATATTTCTCGACTCATATTCATTGAAATCTGTCTTCCTATTTTTAGTCGCAGAAGCCACTAAATAAGTTTGGCAAGCTAATTTTGGGACAACCTGTACTTGGTGTGATTCAATAAGGGTGACGAAATACTGTATCTCAGGAACTAATGATTTTGCTAACAAATGGTCTGGTTTAAGAAAGGAAGGTTAAGTGAATAAGATTAAAATCCATCCATACCATTCTGGTTCTCACTGCCCTCGCTAGGAGGTGTGTTTTATAACAATTAATTAGTTTTTGAGATACAGTACATCGTCACCCTTATTGAATCACTTAGTATATCATCGTTTCATGGTGTGATTCAAAAATGTATATTTCGTTTTTATAACAATCTCAATGCTTTGAAATATTTTCATGAAAACAATGAATTTCGGCCATTTTATCATAACGTTCGTTGTTTGGTTCGATATAAGCCATTGATAGTTTGAAAACGTTCAAAGCGTTTTTCATGTCATAAAACAAATCCCTGTATAGGGATCAAAATATAAAAACACTCTGATTCACTAGAGTACCTACTTCAAGAAATCAATTGACTTTATATTATATAGAATTGTGTTGGTTTAAAATTAAAAGAAACTAAATTATCCTGAACTAACACTTTTATTTTTTCCAGTTTCTGTGTCTGCGAAATATAAATGCTTTCCTAAAGGCTTGTGAAACAAAATTTGGGATGAAAAAAAGTGATGTGTTTGAAGATGGAATGCTGTTCGATCTCACTAACTTCCACAAAGTTCTATGTACTTTGTCAAAGCTATCCCTGAGTCCGAAATCTAATTCGAAAGTACCGTAAGTATATCGATTTTCATAAATTTTTGACATTGCAGGTATTTTCATAGTGTATAAAATTCATTCCTTACCTATCTGTCTAGTAACTTTGTCAGTTTGAATAATGAAAGGATAATTACTCGGATTTATCATTTACAGCAGTTGGTTGTATATGAACATTCTTCAATAGTAATTTTGAAAAGGAATGAATGGAGTCTTGAGAGAATGGGGTTTTCCAGTATGGTATAATTTTCTGTTTTTTGGTCATAGAGGGAATTCAAATTGTTGCCCTGATCTACTGACTTATAAGCAACAAATGGAAGAATGATACTATGCTTGTCTCATATGACAAGATGATCTTGTTATATTTTCCTATCATTCCCTTATAAATAAAATGAAATATGATTTTCTCATCTTGAATCAGTCACGTAGACATTAGTAAGTTTCAATTGTGTATTCAAAATAGGATACCAATTTTAAAATTTCAATTTCTTTCACAGCACACTTCAAAATCACAGGCGGACTACATATATTTTCTTTTTCTGTTCGATTTTTGTTTTCTCGACACAATGATGTATGAGAAGTTACCTTCTGGACAAAATTAGTTGGACTTGAAATTAAATGCTCAGTTGACAAGAAATATATATTTTTATAAAAGTTTGAGATGCATCATTGAACGTGAATCGTGAAATCAGATAGTTATTAGCAGTGCTATCGCGTGGTCTTGAAGTGGCATACTTGTTTTTTTTCAATTTTCAAGATGTTGATTTGAAGAATCTGATATTTTGGGAATATTCGTTCGACTGGATGATATTGATGTGTTCAATATGTACTTTGTTTTTATTTAAACCCTTTTTTTAGAGGGTTTACTGCTCAAACAATGCGAATGGGCGAAGAAGTGATATATCAAAGACTCAAGACAGTGTAAGTATACTCTTGAAAGTGATCCGTTGAACGTAATCATTGATCGATTCCATGATATTTATATTTTAAGTAATAATACTGTAAAAATTTCTCTCCATCCTATTTGTGTTAAAAAAATGTCTGTTCCCCCTATTAGGTTTTTTCGAAATGAATACTTTACGGTTGATAGAACTGTCTCGTAGAAGTTTGCCTCGTTAGCATTTGAGATTTTGGCGCCAAAGTAACTCGTAATGTAATTCGACGATTGTTTGATACAATACTTGAAAACTTCAACAAAAAAAATGGCGCCTTTTAGGTACACTGATAATCTTGTTGAATTCATAGAAGAAGTGGTTAAGGGAAACCAAGCTGTGAGATCAAGTAAGCGTTTTCTCATGATAACCTATATTCAGTAGCGACAAAATTCTTTTGATATGTTGTGGTTTTAACCCTCTTGGTGATCTTGTATTATACTCTATACTACCAAGGATCAAAACACAAACTCGTCTCCTCAATCTTGATAGTGATCAAATTAATAAATCAGATCATCGTATATGTTTCGAGACCATACAGTCTCATCTTCAGCGAAAGGTGTGAAAATTCTACAACATTATATAAAGTAACAATTATTCTATACTATAAAGTATAAAGTTACTTACGTGGAGAAGAAAAATAATTTCACTTAATATGCTTCATGCTATCTCAAATAAAATAATGGAACATATTGATATTTAATTTAACATTTTAAATTACCTAATGCAAAGGGGGGGATACTTGAGCCCTGAAGGAAGCGGAAATGAAAATACAAGATCATGACCAACAGACCAAGGAAAATTCACGTGGCAATGTTTATAGGTTAAATCCTTGAGATAAATCATTGACACCATGCCAGAATGGTATGACAGATGACATCGTAAACATGACAAACAATACGACAAGGCAAATGACATGGAAACTGGCATGACAGATTACATGACGTAAAGATGAAGTTTCGATAATGCGCCGTCACACCAATTCGAGATGGGGGGATTCATTATGGCATGCCAGGATGGTGTCTTCAATACCCTAGTCCTAGTATATCTAGGTTAGGTTAGATTCCATGTAAGTTGGGTGAATACCGCCCCTCCACTGCGAACCCAGATGGGTTCTATTGTGGCTCACCCCTAGAGGTTACAGTTCACTGTACAATTCACATCTTTTTACAAATTCCATGGTTGAATTAGGTGAGATTTGTCTGAAATCGATAGGTTCCAAACTGGTAAAGCCAAATATATCGAACCTCAGTCTCTCTAAGCATGAGCATCAACAAAATATGTGTTCAGCCGTTTCGTCTTCCACACATCAGAACCGAAAGTCCGTTTGTTCGTTCAGACCCATCCTTCCCTGGTGGTATCCTAGACGACATTGTCCCGTAAGCAGTCCTGTCAAAATTCGCCTATACCCCTGCTCCATTCTAGAATCTGCCTGGTTATATTTTTCGATGGTTTTGGCAGAAACGCCTTCGAATGGGTTGATCCTGGTAAGTCAGACCAGTACTTGAGTCCTTTCCCCTCCACCCAGTACGAGATAGTTGTTTTGGGAGCACTTACCAAAGTATGGTTCTGCTCCTATGAACACAGATTCGGTTCCCTGTTTGGCAAGGATGTCGGCTTTCTCGTTGCATTCCCCCTTCCCCCTGGTGTCCAAGCACCCACAGCAAAGTAACTCTGTTGTTTGCACCCAGGCATTCTAGGGATTCAATACAGTTCCATACAAGCTTGGAATTTATCTTGCTAGAGCTCAGTGCTTCAAGAGCAGCCTGACTGTCTGATACTACTACTAGCACATAATTCAATTGGGAAGAACTCTGCCTGAAAGAATGTAGCATAGCAGATATTTCCGTCTTCGGTTTTCTGCTAAAATTACCGGCTCCAACTCCAAGAGGGGTTTTCTGTGTACATCACGTGTCTCTCTTCGGGAAGAGGGCTTTGAAAGACTTTCACATGTGTCAGAGTAGCCAACATGTCGGGAACCATTCCTACAGTTTGGTGATTTTTTATTTCACACAGTATTCCGAAGTGGTCCAGCAGTCGCCCCCATCTAATTTGATTTTCCAGTGACAGGAATCTGTAGGAAACCATCCTGGCTTCCCTCTCCAAGACAATGTGAAGGGGAGTGAGGTTCAGGAGGTTTTCCATCGTTGCCGCTGGAGTAGAGGACATCGCCCCTGTAATGGCCAGGCATGCCTGGATGAAGACCAGCAAGCTTTGCCCTGGCTGTCCCTTGTAGACCTTTAGTCCATCAGACTAGAGTCCCTGTATATACCTTAGACAAGAGTCAGGACACAAAACTGACAGCCGTTGAGGTTTTTAATATTTCGTTTCATTTGGTTTGCCTACCTGACAATGTGACGAAACACCATAGTCGCCTCGCCCGCTTTTTTTAAAATTGAATAATATACGGGGTGTTCTATTTTAAAAAAATATAGAAGATGGCGGCCGGGTGGTTCATAAATTAGTAAGGGGGAAACGGACTCTAGACGGGCACTGTATATGCTGCCGGTATTCGAACCCGGCCGATGCCCATCAGATAATTTTTCAATGAGAAATTGGTTCGTGGTAGCATTTCAGCTGCCTACATGTGGTTCTAAATCCACTATGAATTGTAAGTCCTCTTCCACTTTAACTTTCACAAGCCCTTCGAAGGCTTATGGGGGTTGCTTCGGTAGCCAAAGTGATAGGGTACAATATACAATACAGGGTGAGTCATTAGTGTGGCAAAGTGAGATAACGGTTTTACTGATTGAGATAGAAGTTCGAAAATTTCAGAAATGATCTAGGATCATGAGAAGCACATTTCCAAATTATTTCGCATCATACAGGGTGACTCAGAAATGCGTGGCGTATCAAAGTTATACTTTTTCTTATGGGACACCCTGTACTTCATTGCATTTTCGCATTTTCCTTTGTGAGCTGATTTCATCAATGCATCACAGTTGAGGTCTAGCGAGAATGATTACATAGATATAGGGTGTGCATCAAAATCGAGATTATTCAACTAGGATTTTTTTGCGTCGAAACTATTCATAATTGGTCGAAACGGCTTTTATGTACCTACTAATTCCAACTTTTGATTCACTATCTACTGACATTTAATTGGAACAAATACAATATGTTGAATCTTGAACCACCCTGTATTTGTTTCAATTAAATGTCAGTAAATAGTAAATCAATAGTTGGGATAGGGACACGAGAGCCGTTTTGACCAATGAATAGTTTCGACGCAAAAAAATCCTAAAGTTGAAAAATCTCGATTTTGCACACCCTATATCTCTGTAATCATTTTCGCTAGACTCCAAGTGTGAAACATTGATGTAATCAGCTCACAACGTAGAATGCGAAAATGCAATGAAATACAGGGTGCCCATTAGAAGAAGTATAACTTTGTTACGCCACGCACTTCTGAGTCACCCTGTATGAAGCGAAATGATTTGGAGATGTGCTGCTCATGATCCTAGATCATTTCTGAAATTTTCGTTCTTTTATCTCAAACAGTAAAGCCGTTTTATCTCACTTTGCCACACCAATGACTCACCCTGTATAATAGTTTATCAATTGGATCTTTGACATTTCATTGTCCCTAATGTTGGATAAATATAAAAATCAATGTTTATAAGGCATATAGGTATATATATTGTTGTTTTGATTTTGTCACTTTTATTTCTGCTGAGTGTTATTAAATTGAGAGAATCGGAGAAAATTATATCGAAATAATTATATATCTTCTATTTTTGCATTTCCCATAAGAAAACAACCATATTTTCTTGGTTATATGTGATACCACGTAAAACACTTGAATTATCTTTCCTATATCTAATGAAGTGGAGAAATATCTGATGACGAAAATTCGCAATAGCCATCTCAGGAATTGATCATGAGAATTATCGATTCGAAATTTGAACACCCTGTTGTTCATTATTTGAAAATCTAATAGTTATTCTAGTTAAAATAGCCCTATTTCTCACTCCTACCTACGGCTATGAACGGTTTGACAAATAATCTAACCGTCAAAATTGATTCTGACAATCATTGATACTAGGGGAACTGAAAAGAGAGAGCTCGATATATATGTCTTATTCCTTTATTCAATCATCAATGCATTCTTTGAAAACAGAAAAGGATAGAAGTATAGCTGTGTCCGGACTCTTGTCTAAGTTATATACAGGGACTCTACATCAGACTACCGAGCCATACGTGACCATTGTTTGGTAAATCCAGTTAATCTGTTTGGGGTTCAATCCCCATGATTCGGCGCAAACTTTGCCCTGGCTTTCCCTTGCAGACCTTTAGTCCACCAGACTACCGAGCCATACGTGATCATTGGTTTCATCATTCTTTGGTAAATCCAGTTAATTTGTGTTTAGGGTTCATTTCCCATGATTTGCCGCATACCCTTCTGAGGTTCCAGAGGGAGAATCTGGCTTTGATAACAGGTTTTTGCCATGTGGACGCTTCCCCTAGATATTTCACCTTCGCCGCAAACGGAATGCTCTCTCCATATAAAAGAGCCATCTGGTCGTTTTATTGAGCCTATCTAAGCTGCGTCATGGATATTGAGATGTAAAAACCTCACAAACGATGAGATTTCCACCAAATTCTCAATCACACGACATGTTTTGCTAACACAGTACCTTCACCATGTGAAATACTGGTACAATGTAATGAACTAACCTTAGCTTGCCTAACTTATATATATCCTACTTTCCCAACCTGAAGGATTAGAATTACCTGTGGAAAGGTTCGATAAACCTTCATTTTCGGGAAACTGGCACAATATCTACATTAAAATATGGTGTAACGTATTAACTTGAGAGGGTTGATGGCAAATACATATTATTACCTAGTAAGAAAACAACTCAACTGTGGTGAACTATTGAGGCCTAGTTGATCGTTAAGTAAGTTTGTTGATTTTAAGTGATTCAAAATGATTGAGTTTCATTCCTTTATTTTCTACGTGTAGAATTTCGAAATTATCATCAAAACTATGATTTTCTTCTAATATATGGTAGGCTTATGTTAAATTTGTTTTGTTTTTCAAAAAATTCATCTCATTTTCATGAATGCGCTGATTAGACGTAAGACCTGTCTGACCGATATATACTTCAGGACAAGATCCACAGTTGAGTTTGTATACCCCTGATTTTTCGAATTTATTAGTTATTATTTTTGATAAACCTTCTCAAAGTGCTATTTGTTCTAAATGCTACTTTTAAGTCCTGTTTATATAGAAATGAAGCTAATTTTTCAGTTGATGATCCGAAATAGATTAAAGTTCTATAATTTTGATTATTATTTTTGATGGTAGGATAAACTTTTTGAATAGCTTTATTATGCAGTTTCTTAGAAATTAACGTTGTATCCGTTGTTGACTGCAATCTGTTTTATGATATTGAGTTCTTTATTGAAATTTACTTCTGAAAGAGGGAGATTCACTAGCTTGTGCATCAGTTCCAAAGAACTGAGGAATAATTATATGATACCGCCATATTTGGAAATACAATGTACTTCGCCCCGTTTGTAGGCTCGTCTGACCGATGTCTCCTACGACACTTAGGCCTAGTGGCTCATTGTATCTCACCTACATGCTGTTATCAATTTCACCATATACGACTCATGATTCTTGTTAAGGGCCACTTCAATATGAATGGCCCTTTTCGTTCAGGGTCTTGAAGATTACTGTTCTGATCCCTGTTATCGTCTACGAAGAAAGACCAAAAGTTTTCTCCTACGAGTAACAAGACGGGGTTGGTCCAGCCCTGTAGTGCCCCCTGCACAGGGCTAAGGCTGTTTATTCTGAGTTGTCGCCCTGTTTCCCAGAGGCCCTGTTAGCCACACCATACCTCGGTGCCATTCATCCATCGCCACGGGTTCCCACAGCTTGGATTAGGTTGCCAGAGCCTCTTTAACCAGTCCTCGGCCACCTAGACAGATATCAGCAAATCGCCCCAACTTTGCCACATATGTCCAATAATAATTGTCCCATCTGGCGCAAGACAGCTAAAATGGTCCCAAAATGGTTCATCTGTCGAGCGACCGCGGTCGGTCCTCCCCACACCACTTAATGGTGAGGTTGGGCAAGGAAGAGATAAGAGGATAGCACCCAAGACAAGTTGCAGCATGTTGAATATCCGGCTAGGGTTCCCGGGTTCACTATTCCCGTACTCACAAGTTGTGAGCCCCTGAGGGGCTTGAATACCGAAATTTCCATAATTATCAAAATTCAGAAAGGCCGAAATTTGTAATTGAACCGGTTCAAATGCGAAACGAGAAAAGCGATTAGTTCATTTATATCTGAAATATTATATCAGGTTGGTGTCAATCGCTACCATTTTTTTCTCTTGTTATTTTTTAAAATCAAAGTAGCCCGAAATATTCGGTGAGCACTGGAAGTGTATACATTTTTGGTTTCCGTTGAAATGTTTTTTTTTACAAAGCAGAAAGAAACAGGGTTTATCACGTAACTCGGTCGTTAGAAGTTTTCGATTTTCCAATTCGAATAAATTCTGGTTTGGTACAACATGTAAGCCAATATAAACCTGACGAGTAGCACTTTTTAAATTTACGAAATAGAATAGTGTGATTGAGGATTTTACTAAAACTATGGTGAAAAATATCTTGTCGTTCGGATGTTTTTGAGAGCCCCAGAACTCGTTGTTTTATAATCAAACGCACTGTATGTTGAATTGTTCCTAGTGAAATTAGATCTCAGATACTTGCAATGAATGAAAAATCATCCCAAGGTGTGATGGTCTCAATTTCTTGCTTGTCTCAAATTTGGAACAATGAGATTGTCCTAGAGGATTAATTGCAAAATGTCTTTACTCACGCTGACAGGGATGTCAAAATGGATACGGCATCAAATTGCTCACAACCGAGTTGGTTGCAATTCAAGATACCTTGTCCCCAACCTGAAGACTGGGAGGAAGAAGTTTATGATGATTTATGCTATGTTACTTTCTCATCTAGTATACCCGAGGTGGGCCAAAAGTGTATAAAATGTGCACTGTTTGTAGATACATGTATTTAGTTTATCAATCATATTTAATGAGATGCTTCCTTCTCAGTTGGTTTATAAGAATCAGGATATTATAATCTTCTGATGCCTAGGAACTTGATAATCGTTATTATTATTAATTTTATTTTTTTGAAAATTTGATCCTTGTTAGCTGTTATAGTTTTGCATGCAGTTTTTTTCTTTATTAGTAAAATGCCAATTAGAGCCAGAGGATTAGCTGATCACGAATGTTCATTTGGAGTAACTAGTGAAGAAATTTATCAAGATCTGTGTGTTGATCGTTCATTTGTAGAGGTATAGTTTTATTTCATCATATTATTCAAGTTATGTTCAGTTGATGTTGGGGATTTCATAAAAAATATTTTTTAGCAACCACCAACTCGTGAGAAACGATACTTTGTGATAAAAGAGTTGTTAGATACCGAAAACAATTATGTAGATGTTTTGAGTAAATTGAAAAAGAACTTTATGCAACCACTTCTGAAACAAATGAAACCTGAACAGCATCATGTAGTGTTCTTCAAGATTAAGGTATTTTTCGTTACGTTTCACTTTTGCAGTTGGGGATATTTTCATGACATGAGTTGACTACATAAAGACTGTTACCTACACCCTATAAAGTGGTGTAGAGAACAAGTATTTCGTTGCAGAATGTAGAATGGAATTGGCATTTTGAAATATTTATTCACATGATTATTTCCTCATTTACGTTTTCGATTGGTTGAACTATCTGTGTTGATAATCGAAAACATGATATTTTCGTTTCTGTATTTCGGCTTTTGATTGGCTACTGAAATCAAACATGGCTGTGTTTTCGATTTTGTGTTTCACTTCTTCATCGGTAGTTTCATCAAATATAAAACAAAATGATGTCAACATGCAGCAGGCTGTCATGGACATGGATGTTGTAATATTTTCAAATTCAAGGATAAATAGCACTAAACTTCAGACAAAATACTTTTGAATGTATTTGCATCTGGAACAAACATTTTTCATAAAAACCAAACCTCTCACAACATGATACTAGCGTCTAGAGACAGAACGCATCAAATATTGCCAGCGATTCCCGCCACTGGCGAGACAGGACGTGCGTCCTGTGTGTAGTCTCTAGCTGGTCAACAACTAGATAGAGTTAGGTCATATTCTATGATCTAACACCATCGATGTATCGTCACGTATCTTTGCATAACCGACTGCAAATTAAAATATGACATGAAATAATGAGTGAAATAATCTTAACAAATACAACTCGTTTCGTTGATGATTATCAAAAATCCCTACTCTTTTTCGAAACAAATTATGTTGATTTTAGGCAACATAATTTGTTTATCAAAATCGAAGGGATTTGTATTTTGATAATACGAAAATATCCTCAAATATTGACATTCGAATAAAGAATAATCACACATAAAAATTTCAGGAACTGAGAGATATTCATTCAGAATTTCTGAAAGAATTGTCTGTTATTAGGAGTGATCCCTCGGTAAGACTTAGTAATGTATTTATGAGGTGGAAAGAGAAGTTTTTAGTATATGCTATGTACTGCTCTAATTTAACAAAAGCAAGAACAGTATTACTGGAGCTATGTGATACTGATGAGGTTTTCAATCAAATGGTTATTGTAAGTGATTTTAATCTATCAAAACGAAAAAATTACCGGTTGATTTCACAGAAATATGAGAAAGAAGATAACAATGGAAGATTCAAACTGAGGGATGTTCTATCAGTGCCAATGCAGAGGATTTTGAAGTATCATTTATTACTCGAAAAATTGATTGAGAATACAGATCCAGTAAGTTATATTATAGTGTATTGAGTACCAGAAACGTTGAAAACGGTTCACTGGTCACTATTTTTTGTACGACCGATAAATAATTGGTACCTGATAGGTCTGCAATATAATATCAACAGAAATCAGATATCTATATATATCCTTCAAAATGATATGTAGGTACCTATGAATTCAATTACAGTTTGCTGAATAGTGAGTAAATTATTTTACAACACTTGATGAACTGCCCAAAATAATCGGGGCATACAAAACATAATTTTTCATGTACTAACATAAATTCAACTTGATATTTTTCAGAATCACGAGGAATTCAATGATTTGCGACGAGCAAGAGAAGCTATGATCGATGTTGCTGCTTATATAGACGAAGCTACCAGAGATAACCAACAACTTGAAATCATTAATAATCTACAAGACACAATAACCGAATGGCATCTAACTTCAAATCAAAGGTTGACTGACTATGGTCATTTGATCTTGGACGCCAGCTTGAAAATCAAAACTCACGAAGATCAAAAAACAAGAAACCGCTATGTATTCATTTTTGACAAATGCATTTTGATCTGCAAACAATTGAAGGTAAGTAAATGGATGTTTTTTCGTAGAGTGAATTATATTTCATACTTTTCAAGGGCAACCAATTTGCTTTTCGTGATCTCATCAATGTAGCTGACTACCATGTAGATGAAATACATAGCCGTCCTATTTTGAACAGAGAAGCTAGAACATCGTATCAATTTTACTTGGTGAAAAATGACAACCAAAACGCATTCACAATTCTAGTTCGTACTATAGAGCTCAAGAAACAAATCATAAAAGCCATAAATGATGCATTGTAAGTAGTATTCCACTTCAAATTGTATACTAGAGACCAAATGAAGGGTGAAGGAGAAAAACTGGAAATGTCACGATATTTTTTGAAAGAATCGAATTTCAACAATTGAACACCAAATTACTTCTAGCCTATTGATGTTAAAATAATGACATTATTCAATATACACAGTGTTCTAGAATAACGTTCATATACTCTGTGATTCTGCAGATGAAAATAAGGAAAAATGTTTCTAACAGTGTAAAACCAGCCACAAGTTCCACCCACAACTTCGCCGATTATTCAAGGCGCGCGCCATACCACCAATAACCTGTTATTACTAATTTATACTCGTGGCTGGCCATGAAATTACTAAAACCTGCAAAATATGTCCGTGGATGAAACTATTTCCATTGATGTATTCCTCTAAGGGTCCTTAATAGCACTGAGCTCCAGCAAGATAAATGCCAAGATTGTATGGAACTGTATTGAATCCCTAGAATGCCTGGGTGCTAACAACAGAGTCACTTTGCTGTGGGTGCCTGGTTACCAGGGGGTGGAGGGCAACGAGAAAGCGACATCCTCGCCAAACAGGGAACCGAATCTGTGTTTATAGGACCAGAACTGTACTTTGGGGTCACCTCAAGTGCGGCCAAAACAACTATCTCGGACTGGTCGGAGGAAAAAAGACTCACGTACCAGTATGAATGACCAGGATTAACCCATTCAGAGGCGTTCCTGCCTAAATTATCTAAAAATACAACCAGACAGATCCTAGAATGGAGCAGTGTAATCTGCGAATTCTGACAGGACTGCTTACGAGAAACTGTCGACTAAGATACCACCTGAGAAGGATGGGTCTGGACCAACAAGCGGACTGTCGGTTCTGTTTTGTGGAAGACAAAACAGCTGAACACATACTATTTCCATGCTCTTGCTTAGAGAGACTAAGTTTCGACATATTTGGCTTTACCAATTTAGAATCTACCGATTTCAGACAAATAGAATCCACTTGACATTGCAAATTCGTAACAAAATCAATAAAATAATCATTTATTTGATCAGGGTCAAGTGAATGTTCTGGAATAGCATCATTATTTTCATTGTTATATACATTCAAACGTTTCAAAGCACTCCATACACGGGGATGGGAGTTTTTTTCATAAATGTTTTCCAGTGATGGTACTTGATGAGGTGTATATCTCACAATATTTTGTCGGCCAAAAATTAACCCACGGCCGCCTTTTTTGAAATTTTGAAACGAAATAACTTTTTCAAAATACACGTGGATGGAAGTTTTTTCCATAAATGTGTTTTTCTGATGGTACTTGATGATGTGTATATCTCACAACATTTTGTAGGGCAAGAAACCCCACAGGCCTACTTTTGTTGAAATTTCGAAAACAAATCATAACTGTTTCAAAATACACTTGGATGGGAGTTTTGTTCTTTGAAAATGTTCCTCTCATGGTACTTGATACTGTGTATGTCTCACAATATTTTGGCTGGCAAGAATTAACCCCACAGGCCCCTTTTTTTGAAATTTCGAAAACAAATCATAACTGTTTCAAAATACATGTGGATGGGAGTTTTGTTCTTTGAAAATGTTCCTCTCATGGTCCTTGATACTGTGTATGTCTCACAATATTTTGGCTGGCAAGAATTAACCCCACAGGCCCCTTTTTTTGTGGATTCAGCATTTAGGAAGGAAACACTTGCGATTTTATTGGTCTATGTAGAAATCATTTCATAGATTTCGGAAGATGTAATTCAATGTTCTGCGTGGCATATAGCCAGAAAGGTAGTTGTTTTTCTCTCGTTATCTACCAGTTTTGTTCATTTATGAATATTTGTGGAAATGACTTTGAGCTTTGAGTATTTATTTCACAACAAGGGGTCCTGTGGGGTTTAAGGTATAAACGTGTTGTTATTTTGATATCAAAATTGGAATTAGGGAGCGGACAGCAGAGGGCTAATGATGTATCCAGACGCAAAAAAGGAGTTGGTAGTGTTCGAAGCATTTTTAAATGCCAAAAAATGTATGATGAATATTACAGCCTTGTTCGATAAATACGACTAACCCCAATAAATATTTCAATTACTTTCGTGTAACGTGCTTTCAATTCGATGAACTTGTCTCGATGGTGGGACTAGAAATTGAGAAATTATATGTGACAACAGATCCCGTATCTCCTGCAAATTTTGTGGGAATTTCATATTTTGCGATTTATTCATTATTTATTCTTGCCCGACACAATATTATGAGACACACATATTATTAAGTACCCTAGATACATTGATAGAAATAGTTTCATCCACGGACATACTTTGAACTCGTGGCTGGTTTCACACTGATAATGTTACTATCAACATGTGTCCAATAATTCTTCTTAAGGGCGCTAGAGCCCTAGAACGAGAGGTATTTGCTCAAAAAATCAACTTCACGATGAACTCTAATAAAACAAAACTGAGTGGATAGGTGAAATTTCTGATTATTAAGTTCTAAGTTTTTCATCATAGGAGCTCACGCGCTCAAAGTGATGGTGAATTTTTTCGTACATCTAAATGAAAAATGATACTTTTCTCGAGAACGGTTCGTTTAGTAGCTTTCTAACAAGAATACCTTGTTCATATAAAAGTGTTTGGATGATCATATTTTGGCAAGAGAAATGAGATGAACCTTGAAACGAAAAAGTTGGTTCATTTTTATACCATTTTGGTTACGAGTTTCACACCTCCCTGTATATTAAATCATGTTTTCCGTACCACAGAACGGTTTGTGGAATCGAATCACCCACAGGTGCCAAATTTCGTGATTCTGGAATCAATGATAACAAAGATGAACTGCATTTAAGGACCTACCTTCAAAGGGCTCTAGAAGGCATTTTCGGACAAATGTTGATAGCAACATTTCTTCTTATTTTCATCTGAAGAATTACCTCCCGGAGTATACGAAAGTTATTCTGGGACACCCTGTAGAAAGTAAAAGTATATGTATTCTCATATTTTCTATGCAGATTGAAACAACTCGTTATGCAGAAATAAATAGTGAATTCTCACAAGAACACATCAATATGGAAAAAAAATAAAGAATGTCATATAATATTTTGAACAAAATAACGAGTTACCTTAAGTTATTATTGATGAGGTACTTGCGACAATAACGGAACCTAACTTTTGATAGCATGACAACCAGCCAATAAACAAATTGATGTTTGATGAATTAAATTGTCTTACCGAATTACACTATAGCTTTTTTTTAGTCGAAGTAAACTTGGCATTTATAATTCGAATTTTGTTGCCATTAGGTAATTCAACTCAAAAAACTGCCAGAAAAAATGACTCGTCCTACGGACTCGTAATTTTTTCTGATGCAGTTTTTTTCTTCAAATTGCCAGGCAACAAAATTCTTATTGATACATGTCAAGTTTACTTCGACAAAAAAACCTCTCGTTTGTTTACTTCTCATGCGGAGGTAACTGATGAATAGATAGCAAAGACTGATTTAAAAAGCGAAGAATTCGGACGGACAGCCCCAGTTTTTAACCGTTCTACGATATTTCAAGGCACATTTGCGAATAGACTATACGAGTTTTTAATAGACAATAGACTCATGGGTAGAGTATATCAAGACCAAATCTGTCTTTGGAAAGCAAAGCATGCATATCTCAATTTATGGAAAAATATGACAGTCCTTGTTATTTCCCTTCACCGTTCAATAATGACTTATCTTTAGGGATAATCTTCATCCGAAAGCCTTACAACGCACCAGCCACAAATTTGAACTTCAGACATTTGCCGACCCTGTACAATGTTTATTTTGTTCCAAGTACCTCAAAGGTCTTATTTATCAAGGTTATAAGTGCAGTACTTGTGAAACATATGCGCATAAAGGTTGTATTCAGTATTCTGGGAAATGTGGCCAGCCATTAACCCAAGTTAGTACTAGTCCCACCTTGAATGGATTTAGTGATTGCCCATTTCGAGATTCCTTGTGGTTTGTTGGAGAGATGGATAGTAATAGCGCTTCTATTAATCTCGAACAAAGAGAAAACGGAACATACATGGTTAGAACTAGGGCTCAGAGTGAGGAGAAAGATAAATATGCTCTCACATTGAAGTAGGTTCGTGATTTTCATCTAAATACTGTTACTCAATTCAGTTCATTCATTTCAGAACTGATAATACTGTGAAACACATGAAAATATGTTGTAAATATGAACCACCAGGTGATACAAAAAAATACTTCTTATCTCAGTCAAAGTTTTTCAACACTATAGAGGAACTTATTCTGAATTATCAAAGCCACAGCCTCAAAGAAAATTTCGAAAGGTTGGTATGCATCAATAAAAATAATATTGGTACTTGTGCTAATGAGTCAATTTCGTTTCAGGTTAGATGAAAATACAAAATTACTATGGCCTTTTAGACAATTGAAGGCAGTCGCAGTTAGGAGTTATGAGGGAAAGGATTCATCTCAGATCAGTGTGAGGGAGGATGAAAATATTATTGTTATAGGAAAAGATGGATATAAAGATGGATGGTGGAAAATCCGAAATGCCAATAATGAGGTAAGAGCAATTCAAAAAAGTCCATCATTCAATAGGCACTGAGAGTTAACAACAACAACAACAAGCATGAAATCTGAGAAAATATGTTCGTTAATATCTACTGCCATTAATGTTAAACAATCGGAAATTTTTTTCAATAAAAACAAACTGTCATTGATAATATATTACATAAAAAGCATTAACACATTGTTGGTTTTCCTGATCTTTGTAATTCTTCTTGTATATATCTAAAATTACGTGTTGTATGTAACTACCAATATTTAGTGTCAAAGAAAAAAGAAATAAAAACTAATTCATCATAAATACAGCAGGTACTGAAGTTTGAATTGCTTCATTTGCCGCAATTTCTGTACCTGAATCTATAATTTCGTGATCGGAATTCTTGTCAATAATTTTTTTTTCCTAAATTGAAATGAACGCGTCAAAGTTGACAGTTCGAAGAATGAGTGACAATAGAGAACACGATTCACGATAAGTATGTATAAGCCCAACCCTTGCATTGCTTTCTTGTTGCATATTCCTAATAAATCTTTAATTCGATGAATAATAACTATTTTCAATGAAATAATTAAAATTTTTCGGTAGTAGGTAAAATATTTCACCTACTACCAATATGTAATGTGAAACATTACGTCATTGATTTCAGTTTCGTAATGAGATGGTTTACCGCAGAAGTGCGGTAAATTGTTACTTCACAGCATTAGTGCGGTAAAGTGTTACTTCACAGCACTAGTACGGTAATGTGTTAATTTACAGCACTAGTGCGGTCAAGTGAACAAAATAATTTAAAGTCTCAGTTGTTTACAAAAAAAAAATAAAATAAATAAGAACTAATCGATCATCAATATAGCGGGTACTAAACTTTATATTGCTTCATTTGCCGCAATTTCTATATCTGAAAGTATACTCTTGTGATCGGAATTCATGTTGAAAAATGTATACTCATCTCATATTGAAATGAACGCGTCGAAGTTGACAGTTCGCAGAATGAGTGACAGCCGAGAACACAATAGGTAGATCCACAAGTATACGCCCAACCTTCGCAACGCTCTCTTGTTATACAGGGTGGCATTGAAATAAGTGCAAATATTTCATGCAATGAGTAAGCTCGACGTATACTATCGAGTGGTACCAATAAAAATATAGGGATCGAAATGAAATTTGAGGTTAGACCTCTTTTCCACCCAAAGTTCCATACTGTAGCATTCTGACGTCACCTCTGTTCAAATTTTCGTTCGGATGTCACAATCATGCGGATTTCAATCATTTAAATTGTTTTTAAGTGGCGTACTTAATTTTTTTCTCGTTTTTTGTTCAATTTTCGGGATGAAATTTCTTGTTCATTAGAAAAATATGATATTGGAATATTCGTTAGACTGTATCATATCAATGTGCTGATTATATTTACTTATTTCAAAATCACCTTGTATATTCCTAATGAATCGTTAATGCAAGGAATATAAACTATTTTCGATTGAATAACTATAGCTTTCCTGGTAGTACAAAAAACTGTACGATATTCGTATCGTGAATTCATATTACGATATGATGTGGAAAATTTGTCAAACGAGGACGAAGTCCGAGTTTAAAAACCCGTCGATTATCTTTACGATACTTGTATCATAATTATCCACCAATCAAAAGTTTTGATTCCATACAAAATGTCAATTTCTTAGACATGTAGCATGCCCATATTTCCAGATTTATGCAGTTATTGTAAATTGTTATTGTAGTTGAGTAGGTTTTGTATATTGAAATATAAAATAATGAGGTGTCGATTTATGTAGTTGTAACACTGGGCATCATTTGTCAATGAATTACATTATAACCCCTGCATAGAATTGGTCGCATGCACATGTGACAGATGACCGACCCTGGTGGCAAAACAATTTCAATTTTTCATGTTCAGTTTTCAGTAGTGAAAGCCATGTTCTATCTATGAAAATGGTCAATTGATGAAAACATCCTGTCATTCATTTGTTTACTAACATCATCACTCTTCTATATGCCAACATCAGTGAGACACTGAGAAGTGTCAAACTATAGTGCCCCACAATTGAAGTGGGACACCTGATATTTTCACTAGAGTTTGTAAGATTATAACTTCTGAGAAAATTATTCGATTTCAATTCGGTTCCCAGAATTCAGAAGCTGATTCTATTGTCTCGAGACTCATGGATTCGAAGAACTGAAAATATCATAAATTAAAATTGTACAGGGCGATTATTGGTACACTGTAAACTTGCATCGACTTTGGGGTCACCTCATTCCGTCCAAGAATTTTTTTCTGCTTTCTTCATAATGTTTCATGGAGTTCAATGCTATGTGTCGAAATGGTTTTTGATTTCCATTGATTGATCACATTGTCTCGACGATATGATTTTTTTAGTGGAATGTGTCAAAAATAGGGTATTTTTCGTTCTATTAATGTTACGAGAGTATTTTGACAGTTGCGTACTTAATAGGAAGATTGAATCACTTGATTTTCATACACTGACCAATACATGCATGGTGATTCTCAGAGTTCGATTCAAGACTCAATTTTTATTTGTATATGAAGATGGTAATGCGTGCGATGTTTTATGTTTCTGATCGCCTTTCCACTATTTGGATTATCATACAAATTCTTTTTTTCAGCATAATGAAGAAGAGTATTGAGTAGTCTTGAAACAACTTCGAGTTTTTCCTGATCGGGTCAATAATTTCGAAGAAGTATTTTTTCTTTTAACATCACTCTAATTATCGAGGTATACATGTGACAATCACAACGAGTTTTGATCCAAGTACTATGATTACACTGACCTATCGGGAAAATTGATATCATGAAGTTTCACATACCGTGTGTCCCATATGGAGTCACACTGAGACAATACATGTTATTAAACAGTGCGTAAAATGCATAAGATCTTTTATGAGTGAAACCTTATAAGTAAAGACGTTTCGAAGATGATCAATGCTTAAACACCTTATATAACTTCTAAAATTGCAGTATTCAACAGAAATGCTGTAATCCATATCAATTTTGTGTTAAACTCGCTTTATGAAAAATATCTGCAACTTCATGAGATGAAATAAGGCTGAAAAAAAAATGCATCATGAACATTGATGACAGTTACAATTCAGTATTTTGTCTCTCCTCTTGTTCGAATCAGAGCTGTTATCCTCCTAGGCATTCCCTTCAGAAGATTTCTGATGAAGTTCTGGGGAATAGCTTTCCATTCATCCAATATCGCAGTCGTCAATTCATCCAATTTCTAATTTCCCCCTCTCTCCTTTTCAACTTTAATTTCATCCGAATCCAAACATGCTCAATTGGATTCATATCTGGTGACAAAGGTGGCCAATCCATTCTCTCGATATTGTTCTTTCCGAGGTTCTTTCTCAATACTTTGGGAATATGGTATCACAATATCTTTCTCTGTTTCATGTTTTCTCCTCTCAAAACCACAAACTCAGTCCTCCCATTCATCATCATACCACCCCATACAGTCACTCCACCACCTAAATAAGCAACCCTTGCCTTCATATTTTCTTCCATCAATCTCTCATTTCGACCTCTTCTTACCATGACACAAATTTGCACTCATCAGTAAACATACACCTACTCCATTCTGCTACTCCCCAGTTTTCAAGCTCGGCAGCCCATTGCCTGCGGTGAGCCCGATGACGCTGCCCTAACAACAGGTTCGCAGCTCGTCTCCTGGATCTCAAACCGCTTTCGTGAAATCGTCTCCGGACAGTTTCAACAGATATTCTTACTCCTGTTGCGGCCCTCAAGGAATTGTTTATCTGTCGAGCACTACTGGTCCTGCCCCGACGAGCAGCAGTTCGGAGGAAATTATCATGTCTGGGCTGTTTAGCCCTAAAACGCCCTCCGCCATGATAATATCTCGTAGTCCCTTGGTTCCGCAAACGGTCAATTGCTCGTTGAACAGTACCTCTTGATAAATTGACAGCATCTACGATTCGTCTAATGGAAAAGCCATCATTCCATAATCTGGCTATATTTGCCAATTCAGGTGACGTTAGCTTAGACATTTTTCAATGTGAACTTCACGACTGCAAATACGATCTGAACACAATATATTCGCATGCAGAGAAGTGGTTCATGCAAAAAACGATAGTTCTATAAAACCAAATAATTTTTTTATCCTGGTTGGCTTTGATATGATATACAGAATGTTTCAATGTATCGATATTGAGAGAAATGAGAACTGCCAACTCCATCTCAAAAACTATGGTATTTATGTCGACAGTTAATTAGAAAGGATAGAAATTGTCTTGGAACTTCAAAAGCAGATTTATACTCCGTATTAACACACAATAATTGTAATATTACAAACCTCACTTCTGCTATCTGAATTTTGATGAATCAGAATCAATAAAACATGAGGGGCCGATTACGATTGAGATTCTGAATTCTCAATGATGGTTTTTCGATGCGCCTCGTATCTTCAATATGGGCAATTGAGAAATGATTCAGAATCATCGATTATAGAGATATAATGATAAAAAAATACCTCTCCCAAATTATTGACGCGATCGAAAAAAAAAACGAAATTGTTTCAAGATATCTCCTCATTCTTCATTATTGCAACGGGAATATTCATTTATGTAATCATCTGGACAGTAGAGATGCGATAAAAAGTCTATAACTTGAAACACATTACCACACATTACCATGTTCATAAACAAATAAAGAATCTAGCCTGAATCAATCTCTGGAAACCACTCTTTATTGGTCGTTGTATGGAAATGAAGTGATTCGATTTTTTTATGGACTACGCAACCGTGAAAATCCTCTCGTAACAATTTTTGAAACAAAAATTCACTATTTTTGACACATTCCAGTAAAAAAATCATATTGTCGAGACAATGTGATCAATCAATGGAAATCAAAAATCATTTCGAGATATAACATTGAACTCTATGAAACATCATGAAGAAAGCAGAGAAAAAATTCTTGGACGGAATGGGGTAACCCCAAAGTCGATGCAAGT